AACATAGCAAGACCCTGTGGAAGGAAGGAAGGAAGGAAGGAAGGAAGGAAGGAAGGAAGGAAGGAAGGAAGGAAGGAAGGAAGGAAGGAAGGGAGGGAGGGAGGGAGGGAGGGAGAGATGGAGGAAGGAAGGAAGGAGAAAGGAACTTAAATTTTACTGCTTCCAAACAAGGCAGCTGATAGCGGAAGACACAGAATACAAATCCAGGTCTGACTTCAAAACTCTCACTCAGCCAGGGAGGAGCAACATGGCCAGGTGGATAGGAGGAGCCCCAGGCTGGGGTGGCGGTGGGGGGATATTGATTGTCCCCGTTTCCTCATGTCCCCTGTCCCCTACAGAGTGAGGGCTACCTTTTAGCCAACATTCACATCAATGTGGCTGAGATAAACTGCCAAGGGAAAAGGGCAAATGGGCTGGGATCAGCTCTGAAAAGGCTCTTGCTGAAGCCCCAACTTTTCCCAGCCTTTGCATTCTGTCCCTTGGCTGCTAATGCCTTCTGGCAGAGGCACGTGAACACTCACACACTCACCCCAACTGAGGTGCCTGCAGCTTTACAGTGTGAAAATCTCTGGATTTACAACTCTCCTCAAAAGAAAACAAGGGGAAAACATGTGCTTATGAACTTACTTTGAAAATGGAGAGGTTTTTATTTTGTTTTGGATTTGAAACTCTAAAATGAACCATGGGTTCCCTCCACCCCCCAAAAACTGTGTTCGTGCTACCTTTATTCGATTTCAAAGGGCCCACTTCCCACCGCACTGTCCCCAAAGCATTTGTAAACCACTGCTTAAAAATAACCTCTGAAACTCACTTTCTTTGCTGATATCAGTGTTAACAGATCTGGAAATCTCAGGCATGCCTGCATTTTGTTGCTTTTCTTTACAAAGATCTTTTCTTTCCCTGAGAGTGGGACCAAGAAATTAACTGTAATATTTTCAAGAACAAATAGTACTTTCAGAGTTTTTCCTGGAGTCTCAGCCACACCCTCCAGCCTAATACACTGACTGTACAAATGCTACGGAAAAAGAAAACACAGTTGGGAGCCTGCAGTGGCGACTTCTCCCAGGGCCCAGGGTTCCCCGCCTTCCTAGCTGCCAGCAGTCTGCATTTCTGCGTAGGCCTTTCAGAGCTGTCTTGCCATGAGATCTTCTGCAGCTAGCAAACATTTGGCACTTGTCTTCTCTTAGAGGAGCAGAATTTTTGGAGTTTAAATGGCTGAAGATTTCTATCCTGGGAGCCTGTTCTAGAAAGAGAGAGAAACACCCCACAACACCAACAGTGGCCACTTTGTTTATTGTTTCACCACATGAGAAGGAAGGGGAGAAGTGGGCTGATGTAAGAGAAGGAGAATGCAGTTGAAGATTTGCTTTTAAGACTATAAAACCCTGCCTACGCCATAAGACCAAAAAAAGATATTTTGTCTGCCTTCACAAAGTCCAAACCAATCATCTAAACAAAGCCATCTTTCTTCACTAACCCCAGGCCCACTGCAGTACTTAAGTTATAATTTTTCTGTGTCTTTAACCCTTAAACAGTTAAGCTCCTTTGGCAGCAATGTTGCCTCCTTTTCTTCCCCCCCCCCAAGTTTGGAAGGCAATATCACAATCCAAGACAAAGTGGTACATTTAATGGGGGGAAGGGCTTCAGGGCAGTTTTTTTCCCAGTGAAAATGCAGTTCTTCAGTAAATAGAAAAGCCAGAAAATGTGTCACATGAAACCAGGCAAAGGGCTCCGCTGGAATGATTGCAGGCAATGTTCCTGCAATCCCCCACCCTGCACACACGCTCAGAGTCACAGCCACTGTCTCACATAACACACATGTTCACACACACAGTGAAAGAGTGGTTTCAGTTTTGTTGTAGCAACAGAAAAGAGAGTAAAATTTTCTTACAACAAGAACCTTTCCAAACTGAAAAGATTGCGGCCACACTAATTTGCCTCTATTTCCCAAGG